GAGAGGGCATGTGCAGAAGAGCGCCCACACTTACAGATGATACCCACGTGACCTGGACCGGATGACTGGATGATCAGAACTCAACCAGGAGAAGAAAGAAGAGGGAAAAAAAGAGTGATCTGATACAATTTGATGAACTTGACCTACACCTACAGATGCAGTGACTCAAAAGAGGGAACAAATCCTTACAGCAAGAAACATTCCCACCCCCTCCACACACAGAGTAGACAGAGATGGGCAACTTGGACATTGGATACCCAAATTGGGGGGGCGGGGGGGCACTACAAAGGCAAGAAGTGACTGGCTTACAAGCTTTCAAGAGGGAACCTAGAGCTAGGGGGCATGGAAGAAGGCAGAATCTCCAGTGAGTACTATGTAATCTGTCTAGGCAGAGCTGATGAAAAGAAATTCAGATGGGTCACTTGTGATACTTTTGTGAATAATTGTTATCAGGACTGATTATGAAGGTTGGAAATGTAAAGGTAGACATTTTGTATCAAGGAAGGGAGTGATTAATTCTCCAGTCTAGGAGCAGAGGTCTCTAGGACCATCAACGGAGAAGAGTTGAGAGCGGGACCCTACCCAGAGAAGCAGAGATGCCTGAGATGGAGACAGAGACAATGACGATGACGTGGAATGATGAAGCATCTGGGGACTTTGGATCCAGAGATGGAGAGGGACTGTGTACTGAAGACTGGGGGGAAGAGGGGGAGTGTATGGGGTGGGTTTGTAGGGTATACCCTTTGGTAGGTTGATGATGCACGGAGGGGTTTGGAACCATGGCAATGAAATGATATACGATGGAATGAATGTAAAATTAAAGTTCTCTCATGTAAACTACCATATAATTCACAATAAAACATAAAAAAAAGGATGAATAAAATGTGGTAAAGCTATATAATGGTATATTATTCTTCTAAAAAAAGAAGTATTGATACATATGATAATGTAAATGAGCCTAGAAATATTATATTAATTAAAAGAAACCAGACCCAAAATTCTTTTTTTGTAAAATTTTATTTATAAGAAATGTCCAATTAGGCAAATCTGTAGCGGTAGAAAGCACATAATTGGTTTAAAGGGTTAGAGAGAGAAAGGATAGGGGAGAGACTGATTAATAGGCATGGGTTATTTCGCAGGGAGGCATTGAAAAAGTTCTGAAGCCAGATACAAATAAAGGCTATTCAACATGGTGCATATACTTAAAGCTTTTGAATTGTAACCTTTAGAATGTTTACAATTGTAATTGTAGTATACATTTTACAACAGTAAACAACAAAACACTTATTCTTTTAACAAGTTCTAAAAGAGTGAAATTTTTTATTGTATTATAAAGATATATACACTATGGTGACATAAAGATCCAGTTAAAATCTTTGATAATGATAGAGTTTGTTGGAAAAGTATGCTCAAATTCTGACAATTTCATAGAATTCACTTTATGACATAATAGCAAAAATAACAAAAACACTTAAGCTGTTTTTGTTTTTTTTTTTTGGAATAAGCTGTAAAAGAATCAAATTATTTATTACTTTATAGAGACATATGTTTTTGTTAAGAGCCATTGAGTCAATTCTGACCCATAGTGACCCTCTATAGGGTTTCTGAGGAGAAGCTGGTGAGCTTGAATTTCCGACCTTGCAGTTCAAATGGCTTTGTAGTCTGACGCATTAACCCACAGCGCCACATCAGGATTCTGAAATTGCCAGGGTGTGAGAATATTTATCTTACAAACTCTGCCATTATCATAGGCTTTCACTGCATCTTTTAATTACCATAGTGTATATATATATATATGTAGAGAGAGAGGGAGACATATACACTATGGTAATTAAAAGATGCAGACAAAGCCTATGATAATGGCAGAGTTTGTAGGACAAATATTCTCACATCTTGGCAATTTCATAGAATTCACCTAATGACATAACATCAAAGAAATGATGAATGCAGAATTCAGGATACTGATTATCTCTGGAAGTATGGTGTATGCTGTGCTTGGGTGACTGTTCAAGTGGTTGCTATAGTGATTACAATGATGTATTTGCTAACCTGGTGATGGATGCAATGACTTTGTCATTATATTGCTACTCCTTGTGAACAACAGACATATTTTATACACCAATTTGTATATGCTCTCTTCAGTAATAAAATTGAGGAAAGGTCTTCCATAATTCTGATTCTAAATATATGGTCTTTTATGCCCTGGGGAGTTGTGGTGTGGTGCTGTAGGATAATGTGCTGGACTGAAAGAACAATTTGAGCCTCAAAGTGGGCAGTTCAAACACACCACTTGCTCCTGGGAAACACTATACAGTATTGCTATGAGTTGGAACCAACTCAACAGCACTTAACAACAACAACAATATGGCGCTGTGTGATAAAACACTGAACTGCAAGGTCGGTTTGAACCACAAGGTTAGCAGTTCAAACTTACCAGTCTCTATTTGGAAACCCTATGCAGGGTTATTATGATTGAGAACTGACTCAAATGGACTTAACAACAACCAAAGGAGGCCACGCTTCAAAGCCTGGAGTACATCAGGACCTCAAAAAGAACTTGTTAGATGCTATCATCCTATAGCTGTTTCCCTAGAAATTCTAATGTAGTAATTCAATGGCGAGGTCAGATATTTTTCATATGAACAAGGGTCTCAGGAGTATTATCTCAGAAAGAGTTCTGTGCAAGCTCAGCACTAGAATATACCTTGGGTGCCTGGCTTCCTTAGTGGTGCTAAATAGAACATGACCTGTGAGACCTCTATCTGCTTTGATAAACAGAATATAAGGCTCTCTCATCACTCCCTTGCTTCTCCTGTGAAGCCCCTATTGTTCTTACCTCCACATCTATGTAGACGATTCTGACTTCTATAGTCTCACTATTTGGTATTTGTGAAAAATTAATTTTCCTAATCCTACAAGTTGATCATTTCACCTGTCCTATTTTACACTAAACATGTCCTAAAAGTAAAATTTTTGTTCACTGAATTTTTTTTTTCCTCTGAGAGAAGCAATTAAATGTTTTGTATGAAAGTGTAATATTATAGACAATACTCAAAGACACAAGAAATTCAATTAATTTTACCTAACAAGTTATCTCTTTGTGGATTCTAAAAGAGAAGAGTAAGAACTAAAACAACAGAATTTGAATATGGGAAAAATAAAACACATGTCCAGTATTTTCAGCAAACCAATAGAAGAAATCAATCCATATAAAATACCTTTTACAAATTCTACTATATTTATCCAATATTTGTTCATTTCATTATATACCTAAGACAGGAAAAGCTTATGGTAGTTATTAAAATAAAGTCAAGAAAATAGTATTACTTAAGGGAGTATAAAAATATGTAAGAGCAAAAGAATAACATGATTTATAAATATTGGAAAGAAATAGAACATGATTTACTAGTTGAGTTTTATTTAGTGCTTACTATGTGGCAGGCATTGTACTAATTTATGGTAGTGGTTACAGGTGACTTCTCAATGAAATTGCGCTTCAAATGGTCATTTTAAGGCTCAACTAGCAATCATATCAATATCAATATCTTTAACCACACGTATTTAATTTGTATATTGAACAAATAATCCGAGGAATTGGATTAGATGAAGAAAAATGTGGCATCAGTATTGGAGGAAGACTCATAAACATCTGCAACATGCAGATGATACAATCTTGCTTGCTGAAAGTGAAGAGGACTTAAAATACTTACTGATGATGATCAAAGACCACAGCCTTCAGTATGAATATCATTTCAGTACAAAGAAAACAAAAATCCTCACCGCTGGACAAATACACAACATTTATATCAATCGATAAAAGATTAAAGTTGTCAAAGACTGCATTTTGCTCAGATCAACCATCAATACGCATGAAAGCAGCAGTCCAATAATCAAACAGCATATTGCATAAAGAAAATGTGCTGCACAAGACCACTTTCAAGTGTTGAAGAGCAAAGATGTCACTTTGAGTACTAAGGTAGTTCTCACCCAAGCCAAGGTAGTTTCTATAAATTTATATGCATTTGGAAGTTGGACAGTGAATATGGAAGACCATGGAAGAACTGATTCATTTGAGTCACGGTATTGGAGGAGAGTAAAATATGCTACCTTATAAGATTGTGGAATAATGTATTTATTGTCTTTTATTGCATTAAGAAGAACTTTTGTGGTTTCTTGTATTCATTGTCTGTATTACTTCTATTTTTCCCTCTGGCGTCTTAGATTTGTTTGTCTCTTCTGCACTGTCTATGTTGTGAGAGCCCACGTGGTTGCAATTAAGTCTGTCAAAATAATCCAAGCTTACTCTTCTGTAGAAAAACTCTTTGTACTATTAATTTAATATTCACACTTTATCATATCAGTAATATTCACACTTTGAAAATGCACACTTTTGCAAATGCTGTTATTGTTCAGCACAACTGAGTACGTACTAACTTTTAATGACTCTGCATAGGGTTTTCAAGGAGTAGTTAGTGGGTTTGAACCACTAACTTTGTTAGTAGTCCAGTGAAACACCAGGACTTGAAATATTAGGATGTAGAAACTCCATTTTGAGGGCAACCATCTATTCCAGTACAAAAGGCATAACTTCTGATGACTCCATCAAAAGATATATTAACATAAGTACCTTGAAGAGTGAACTTTCTCTCCCAAGGTATGTGTAGTATTACATATGCATCTGTTATAGAAATCTAGAAACAGTGAAGGAAACCGATCCTAGGATAAAGCCAATACTTATAGACTAAGGAAGTCTTCCTGTATACTCCCTATATCTGAAGTACTTATATTGAAAGTCTTTCTAACAGCTCTTTATTTTTGAACATGTTAGTGTTTGAGATTCTTTTAGTTACGAATCTTGGCATCGGCACTCTTAATATTCCCATATCTAACCACCATTTAAAATCAATAAGAAAATATAATTATTCCATTTTGTATCTAGTGAGATTGAGTGTTGTTGATGCTGATGCTGATGTGCAGACAGCTATTACCAGTTACAGGTCTTAATAATTAATTAACTGGAAAAATGACATAAAGTGTATACTATCAAATATTTTTTTCAATCTTACCTTTATATCTCTATTCCTCAGACTATAAATAAAAGGATTCATCATTTGAGGGACCACAATATACATCACTGAAGCAGCTGCTATCTTCCTGGGAGAATTTGTAAATGCTGAACTGAAGTACACACCTACAGATGTCCCATAGAATAAAGAAACAACTGAAAGATGAGACCCACAGGTGGAAAAAGCTTTATACTTTCCTCCAGTTGATGACATTCTCAAGACAGAGGAGATGATGCGAGTATAAGAGAATATGATGCCAGCAACAGGGATGCCACCCAATATGCAAGTCAAAAAATATATCAGGATGTTGTTGATAAGTGTACTAGAACAGGCAATCTTAAGGACCTGGGTAAGTTCACAGAAGAATTGAGGGATTTCCAGGTTTGTGCAGAAGGACAGATGCAAAATCATCAGACTGTGGAGCAGGGCATTCACCATATTAATGAACAAGGAAAGTAGAATCAGCTGGCCACAAAAGCAGAAGTTCATGATGACTGTGTACCTGAGTGGGTGACAAATGGCTGCATAGCGGTCATAGGCCATTACAGCAAGAAGAAAATTTTCAAAGCCACCAAAAACCGTGACAAAGAAAATCTGGCTCAGGCATCCTATATATGTGATGGTCTGATTCTGTGCCTGGATGTTCACTAGCATCTTTGGGATGGTGGTTGTGCTTACACAAATATCAGTAAAGGAGAGATTGGAGAGGAAAAAGTACATGGGGGTATGCAGGTGGAAGTCAGAACTGACAGCCAGGACTATGAGTAGATTTCCAAAGACAGTGACCAGGTACATGATCAGAAACAGGCTAAATACAAAGTGCTGCAGATCTCGATCCTCTGACATTCCCAGTAAAATGAATTCTGAAATAATTGATTGGTTTCTGAATTCTATATCATTGATGAATCTGATAGAAAGATGGGGTGACAAGACAATAAAATGTGTGGGATCCCTTTAATCAACAGCAATGACAGCACTGAAGACATGCATTGTTTTAGGAAAGGAAGAAGAATAAGAGAGTATACAGAAATGGCACCTTTCCCATGAATATTATTTGGCTATTTAAAAATAGGAAAAAAAATGCATATTTCCAATATCTATTTATTCCGGAAAAAGCTGGTGATGCTATTTTTTAAATTACAGTATCTGAGTTTTTAATGATGATTTAAAATATTTAGTAATTTTATCAATAGAAATAGAGTCAAAAAGAATCCTGAAGGTCAGTCTTGCTTTCCACCTTCTTCCCAAGATACCAAAGCCAGACAATAAAGATAATACAAATATATACTAATAACTAGATTATAAAATGAAATTGTCAAAACCTTCTTCACCATCACCAAAAGAATGTCCATAGACCAGATAATTTTATAAAAGGCATATTTGTAATGTTACTGCTCATTAGGCAAATCACCCTTGCAATTGCAGAGACAGTGAAAGAGACTAGCTGATTAACAACTCTTAGATATTGGTGCAAAGATACAAGGAAACCTATTAAAATAATTACAGATAAACAAGTTTCCCAAAGCGTACATAGTTTCATTGTTTGTTGCATGTACTTTCTTCACATTCATCATTCTTCTGTTGGTTGTATTTGTAGTAAAGAAAACAGAAAAAATCTTGTGCTTTAAAAATACTAGCTAAGGGGTTTAGATTACCTCACTGACATCTCTGTGGAATGCATCTTGGATATCTATGCCAGACGGAGAAGACAGAATGTCTGTACTCAGCAAGGCCTGAGGGACTCAGTGAAGCACTAAGCTTCTGGTCAGTGAAACATTAGGCTTCTGGTCAGCTCTTGAAAGAGGATCATCTGTTACAATGCCTTATAGGGGAAGGACTCTGAAGTGAGATACCACAGGTACACTCTTTGCAGTCTTTTATCCCTGGAGGCTCAATCTCCAAAGTCCCTCATTAACCCCACACATTCATTGTCAATCTGATTATTAGCACAATAAGTAACCTACTGTACTAACAGGGCTCCAATGTGATGCCAGGGCAATAAAAAATCTACAAGACCAAGACTTAGAAAAAGAAATTCAGGATTGTGGATACTCTGTCCCTGCAAGACTAGCTGCATGCCATTTGTCTTTCTCAACCTGTTTCTACTCACGTCTATGTTACATACGTTGTACATGTTGACACACTGTCATTTTCCTCTTGGATTTCAGTCTTTTCTTTTTCACTGCAAACATACATCTCTAAATAACCTGTGATACTAGGAAACTTATATCCAATATTCAGTGTGGAAATATAGTTAAAAATATATGACTATTAGAATGCCTTCATAAACATAGCTAGTATAGTGTTAAAAATGCAAACTTGGCAATATTTTTTCTAAGAGTAATTGATTCTTTCCTAATCCTTAATATATATTGTTTATTTTATAAAGTATACTCTATGCTCTTCTTTGCTTAATTCTGATTTTGTTTAATATGGACAGACCTATTATTTCCTCCTTAGAATTGTTCAACCACCTTTCCCAACTCTATCAAATTTATTTAACATACACTTTTCTTTACATTGGGAGAATGTCAGTTGAAATAATATGTCTTTTTATTTTTCCCAGAGTTGTGAGACATTGACTTGGCATGAAGTTTATCCATGGTTCTTGTTAATGTCCAATGAGTTAGTTCCAAGTTTTGGCAAATCATTATAGGGTTTAAGAGGAGTGACTAAGTTGTTAGCCACCAACCTTTTGGTTAACATCCCAGTGATAATCCTGAAGTACCACACCAGATTTAACCATATTCTCACTAAATTTAGTTACATTTTAACTAAAATATATGAAGATAAATTGCCATGAGAGCATTCACCTAATATTTTTTTTCAATTTTTTTGAATTCATGTTATCATATGCATGTCAACATATCTTACCACTGTTACTATATGTATATACATAGAGTTTATTAATCAATAGCTATTTGATATGTTAAAACCAAGTTGAGATAAGTTCAGATGGTTGTTGTTATTAGGTGCCGTCTAGTAAGTTTTGACTCATAGAGATGCTCTGCACAACAGAAGGAAACAAAGTCCAGTCTTGAGCCTTTCCACAATTGTAACTCTTCAGCCAATTGCTACTACAAATAATCTAATTTGTCTAGTTAGGGGTTTTCATCTTTTTCACAACCTTTCTGCTTTTCCACCTATGATCCCCTTGTCCAGTGTCGCCCCTCTAAATAATATAATATATTTCAAGTATGATAGACAAAGTCTTGCCATCTGGCTTCTAAAGAGAATTATGGTTGTATTTTTTCATCATAGATTTGTTTGCTTTTCTGGAAGTTCATGGTACTTTTAATATTTGTCTCCAACACAATAACTCAAATGTATCAATTCTTCTATGTTCTTACATATTTATTGTCCAACTTTACATGCATATGAGGCTATTAAAATACTATGGATTTAAAACAACAATGAGCTATCATCTCACACCAGCAATAACAGAGAAAATAAAAAAAAAATAGAGGACAATAAATGCTGGCAATGATGCAGAGAGACTGGGATCCTCCTACATTGCTGGTGAAATTGCAAAATGGTCCAAACATTTTGGAAAACAATATGGCGATTCCTCAGGAAATTGTAAATAGAAATACCTTATGATCCAGAAATTCTTCTACTTGGTATTTATCCACAAGAAACACAATCGATAACACTAGTAGTTATATGCATACCAATGTTCATAACAGCACTATTTACAATAGCAAAAAGATGGAGACAGCCTACATGCCCATCAATGGAAGAATGGATAAATAAACTTTGGTACATGCACACAATGGAATATTATGCTACCTTGAAGAATACAAGGAAGATGCAAGCCACCACATAACATGGAAGAACCTTGAGGACATTATACTGAGTTAAATTAGTCAATCACAAAAGGAGAAATACTGCATAGGACTATTATTGTAAAAGCTTAAGAAAAAGTAGCCACACTTAAAGGAAAAAAATATTTCATGGTTATCTGGGTATCTGGAATAGGGTGAGGGGAAGGAGGGGAAGTTGGAGCACAGGGTAGGGAATAGACAAAGGAAAGTTTGGGAGCTGGGGGTCAAGGGGCAATACACAAGATATGGGAGAGGATTGGAAGAACAAGGAGGATGGAAGAATATTTAAGCAGGTTTACATGGGCTAAGTGGGACAGAGGTAAATAATGATGTGCACTCAAACTTGGAATAACAGGGTTCTAGGATACAGGGATTGAGGCAGGCTTTGAATGGGTAAAAGAGAAGAAATAATGCTAAGATTCTGTACTATCTTTTTATTTTTTTTTTTAAGTTTTTATTGTGAATTGAATGATAGTTTACATGGGAAAACATCAGTTTTTTTTCTGGAAGTCCATGATACTGTTAATATTCATCTACAACACCATAATTCAAATGTACCAAATCTTCTATAGTCTTTCATATTCATTGTCCAACTTTAATACATATGAGGCTTTTAAAATACCATGGCTTTGATCAGGACCACCTCTGTCCTCAAAATGACATCTTTGCTTATGAACACTTTGAAGATGTTTTATGTAGCAGATTTGCCTACTATAATACTATATTTGATTTCTTCACTGCTGCTTACATGAGGGTTGATATTGGATCAACTTTGAAAAAAAAACAACAACAACTCTTTGACCACTTCAATCTTTTCTCCATTTGTCAAAATGTTATTTAGTGATCCAGTGATAATGATTTTTCTTTTCTTTACATTGAGGTACAACTCATATTGAAGACTATGACCTTTGATATTCATCAGTAAGTAAAGTCCTCTTCCCTTTCTTCGGGCAATGTTGTATCATCTGCATATCACATATCACTAATGAGTTTTATTCCATTCTTGATTCTGTGTTTTACTATATATAATCCATTCTTTCAGCATATAGATTGAATAAATATGGTGAAAGAATACAACACTGTTGTATATCTTTCCCTAATTTAAATCATTTAATGTCCTCATTTCTTTTTAAATGATTGCCTGGTGGTCTATGTACAGGTTCAACAGGAGCACAATTCATTGTTCAGGAATACCCAATCTTTGCAATGTTATTCACACATAGTTGAAAGTCTTTTCTACTTAATAAAGCACAGGTAAACATTTTTTATTTTTGTATTCTCTGCTTTTAGCCAAGATCCAACTGGTCTATTTGGTACATTGACTGTTTATTCTTTCGATCTTCTTAGGTTGTTTTCAGTCTCATTTAATATTTTGCCTATGTTGTTGTTAAGTATGTAGAGTTGGTTATGACTCATAATATAGAATCCTTCAATATAGCATATCGAAGATTGAATTATTCTTATATTGATTCAATTTGAGAAAAGCTGAGCATACTTGGCAGTTTTGGATTTCTAAGACCAGGTCTTTGCACATTTTATTATGATATTTGATTTTATATTATTGTGATGCCTTTTGAAAATTTCTGTTCTGTTCTTTGACCTACATATTTCCTCCATTTACTTTAGGATCTCTACCATGGAGAGAAAGTGTTAGAGTATCTTGGGACATCCTTTTATTCTTTTCCTTTTTTTTTTTTTATATTTTAAATGTCAAACCACAACCTTTCTGCTCTTTGGCCACTAGTGTCTAATACATCAAGCGTATTCTTGAGGTGATCTATAAATTCAGGTAAGACATATTCATTGTCTTATTTTGGAATGAGTGGGCTTTCTTTAATTTTCTTCAGCTTAACATCAAAATTGCATATGGACAGTTGATGGTATGTTCCAGTCTGTCCTTAACCTTGTTTTGTCTAAATGTT